TTGTGGGCAAGGGGCTTGGACTTCCAGCAAGCGTGCGTGAGCGTGTTAGATAGGAGTGAATGGAGACGAATGGTACTTGGGACCTGATGATCTGTTGGAGTGTGAGCAGGGTAATATTTAGTGAAGGGATTCAAGGAAACCGGTTATTTTCATATAGTCGGACTTGAGTCCTGGAAATGGGAAGTACAATGCCTGCACTTTAAAGGAGGGGTTTGGGATATTGGCAGTTTGGAGGGATATGTTGTGTATCTTTATATGTATATGCTTCTAAACTGTTGTATTCTGAGCACCTCTGCAAAAACAGTGATTATGTGTGAGTGTGGTGAAAGTGTTGAATGATGATGAAAGCATTTTCTTTTTGGGGATTTTCTTTCTTTTTTGGGTCACCCTGCCTCGGTGGGAGATGGCCGACTTGTTGAAAAAAAAAAAAAAAATACAGGAGGGTCCTGCTTTGCGGCGCTTCACTAATACGAACATTTCAAATTATTATTCTTCTTTCAACAAACCGGCTGTATCCCACCAAAGCAGGGTGGCCCAAAAAGAAAAACAAAAGTTTCTCTTTTTAACTTTAGCAATGTATACAGGAGAAGGGGTTACTAGCCCTTTGTTCCTGGCATTTTAGTTTGCCTCTTACGACATGCATTGCTTACGGAGGAAGAATTCTGTTCCACTTCCCCATGGAGATAAGAGGAAATAAACAATAACAAGAACTAGTACGAAAATAGAAGAAAACCCAGAGGGGTATGTATATATTTACTTGTTAATACATGTGTTGTGTGACCTAAGTGTAAGTAAAAGTAGCAAGATGTACCTGAAATCTTGTATGTTTATGATACAGAAAAAAAGACACCAGCAATCCTACCATCATGTAAAACAATTACACACTTTCATTTTACACTCGCTTGGCAGGACAGTAGTACCTCCCTGGTCGGTTGCTGTCTACCAACCTACTACCACATTTCAAATTATACCCAAAAATTTGTATATGTGACTCATGATTCGCTATTACAGCATCCATATGCCACTCTGTTCATTTACATCCTCTGTGAGTTCCGCATCTCTCTTGATTCTGCCTGGAAACTTTCCAAAGTTTCATATTAAAGTTAATGCATATTTTATATATACTTTTCTTGTGTTATAATGACATTTAAGGGTAGCTGTAATAAAAAGAGAAGTCGTAAGGTTCTTACGTTAAGTGCAAAGTCAGAAATGATTAAACTCTGTGATCAAGGTATGTCTATGGCTGAGATAGTACTGATAATTGTACTTATGTGTACCTGTAACAATATAATCCTTATGGGTTTAGTACTTCATTATGACTATAATAATAATAATGTACTTAACTAACCTTACACACACTGCTGGCGTGCAGGTATATTAAAATCACTATTTAGCATCGTTACAAAATAGGAGTAGCTAGGCCGGGTGAGGGAGTAGCTAAGAGTGTCTCGCTAGTGTTGAAGATGCAGTAACATAAAAAGCATTATAATAATAATTATTGCTCTGTGGTGCTTTAAATGTTGTATATTAAATTATTATGTGTTGCTGTGAGTCAGGGTATGTTGCTGTGAGTCAGGGTATGTTGCTGTGAGTCAGGGTGTATTGCTGTACTGCATTAATCTGAAGATAATTTGTTTAGTCATTAGTCACTCCCAGTTGGACGTCCAGTACCTGTTCAGCTGCCAGATTAATATGCATTACTAGGTAACCACCCAAAACACTGTTTACAGAATTTGTGCGCTCTGCATTTCTCTGTATTCTGGCAATTTTTTACATTCATCTTACTTTCATATTTTTTTTAGGCCTAGCTTTATTGCATACTTAATATATGCTGACTGTATGACCCTTGTGGGTTTAGTATTTAGTTATGATTATAATAATAATATATGCTGAAGATAAATTTGAAGCTAGCGGAGACTGGTTTCAAATGTTTAGGGAAAGAAGCCACCTTAACAGCATCAAAGTGCAGGATGAAGGAGCTAGCACCAACACTATGTAGCTGCAGAAAATTATCAACATGAGCTAGCTGGGGTAATTGAATGTGGTGGATATACTAAGCAATGTGGTTGAAACTGTATTATTTTGGAAAAAGATGCTCTCTAAGACATTTATTGCTAAAGAAGAGAAGTCAGTGCCTGCCTTCAAAGCTATGAAAGAGAAACAAACAAACAAACAAATTTTATTTCTTTCCTCTGTATAAAAAATGTAGTTTTACATGTATTAAAATGTTGTTAAGCACAGATAATTAAGAGAGGCTGACATTCTTGCTAGAGGGCTAATGCTACTTGCCACTCACTATAAGCTAAAAATGAAAATATTTTAAGGGAAGTAATGGGTTTACTGTATATGCATTTTACTTTTTTATTGTTTTTTAGGCCTCCTACTGTTGTTCACATAATACAGTGGTCCCTCGCTTTTCGTAGTTCTCAGCAATCATAGATTTCGGAAATCATAGGGGTATTTTTGTATAATCATGGGCTCGCTTTTCATAGGTTGACTTGCGAGTTGTAGTTCGTCCAGGACGCCTACCCACAGCGTGAGCCAGGGCGGCAGCCAGTATGGCATTGTTTACCAGCGAGCGAAGGTCCCCTCACGTGCTCCAGCGAAATATTTCATAATATTCCATTTATTTCAGTGCTTGCAAGTACTAAATAAGCTACCATGGCTCCAAAGAAAGCTCCTAGTGCCAAGCCTGTGGTAAAGAAGGTGAGAAATACGATTGAATTTAAGAAAAACATCATTGAACAATATGAAAGTGGTACAAGTGCGGCCGAACTGGCCAGGATGTATAAGAAACCCTACACAACCTTATGTTCCATAGTGGCCAAGAAAAGGGAAATCAAGGATGCTGTTGTTGCAAAGGGAGTAACTATGCTGAGAAAAATGAGATCACCAGTACTCGAAGAGGTTGAGAAGTTATTTCTGGTGTGGATAAATGAGAAACAATTAGCAGGAGATACTCTTATGACTTCGATTATTTGTGAAAAGGCTAGGCAGTTGCACAACGATCTGGTAAAGAAATTGCCTGAAAATAGTGATGATGTGAGTGAATTTAAGGCCAGCAAAGGTTGGTTTGAGAGATTTAAGAACCGTACTGGCATACACAGTGTGGTAAGGCATGGTGAGGCTGCTAGTTTGGACCACGAGGCGGCTGAAAAATATGTGCATGAATTCCAGGAGTACATATAGGCTGAAGGACTGAAACCTGAACAAGTGTTCAATTGTGACGAAACAGGCCTCTTTTGGAAGAAAATGCCAAAGAGGACATTCATTACACAGGAGGAAAAGGCAATGCCAGGACACAAGCCTATGAAAGACAGGCTGACGCTAATGTTCTGTGCTAATGCTAGTGGGGATTTCTAAGTGAAGCCATTACTAGTGTACCATTCTGAAAATCCTTGTGTGTTTAGGAAAAACAATGTTATGAAAAGTAAATTGTGTGTGTTTTGGAAATCTAATAGTAAGGCATGGGTCACGAGGGAAATTTTCGTTGAGTGGTTCAATGAAGTGTTTGGCTCTAGTGTGAAGAATTACCTCCTGGAAAAGAAATTGGATCTCAAGTGCCTGCTAGTAATGGACAATGCACCTGCTCATCCTCCAAACTTGGATGATCTAATTTTCGAGGAGTTTGGGTTCATCACAGTAAAGTTCTTGCCCCCGAATACCACTCCTCTCCTCCAGCCCATGGACAAGCAGGTCATTGCAAACTTTAAAAAACTCTATACCAAAGCAATGTTTCACAGGTGCTTGACTGTGATCACAGACACTCACTTGACCCTAAGGGAATTTTGGAGAGAACACTTCAGCATCCTCCATTGCATAACCCTTATAGGTATGGCTTGGGAGGGAGTGACTACCAGGACTTTGAACTCTGCCTGGAGAAAATTGTGGCCAGATTGTGTCGACAAGAGGGAATTTGAAGGGTTTGGCACTGACCCTAATGAGCCTATGTCTGTTGTAAAATCAATTGTGGCACTGGGGAGTTCCATGGGGTTGGATGTGAGTTTGGAGGATGTGGAAGAATTGGTGGAAGACCACAACGAAGAGCTCACCACTGAGGAGCTGCAAGAGCTTCAGCAGGAACAGCAACAGATTGCAGCTCAGAATCTTGCTGCAGAGGAGGAGGAAGTGAGATGGAAGATGGTGCCTTCTTCAGAAATTAAAGAGATTTTTGCTATGTGGGGTAAGATGGAAAGATTTATGGAGAAACATCACCCTGACAAGGTTGTTGCAAGCCATGTTGGCAACATGTACAGTGACAAAGTCTTGGCCCATTTTAGGGAAGTTTTAAAGAGACGCCAGAAACAGAGCTCTCTGGACAGTTATTTTGCGAGACAGGACTCCAGCGACTCTCAAGGTGGTCCTAGTGGCATTAAGAAACAGAGAAGAGAATCAATCCCAAAAAAGCAATTGGTACCTGAGGTGTTGCTGGAAGGGGATTCCCCTTCCAAACTATAAACAATCCACTCTCTCTCCTCCTCCAGTCTCCCATACACTAAGAAGAATCTCCAATAAAGGCAAGTGTTATGCTAATGTTTCATTCATCATTTCCCATTGTATTGTTTATGTACTGCATGTATATTTCATGTAAAAAATTTTTTTTGTTTTAATACTTCTGGGTGTCAGGAACGGATTAATTGTATTTACATTATTTCTTATGGGGAAAATTGATTCGCAAATCGTAGATTTCGTTAATAGTAGCAGCTCCAGGAATGGATTAACTACGAAAAACGAGGGACCACTGTATATGACTATAAACATGTTATCAGGCATTTATATGCATTTAAAAGTGAGAAAAAAGGTGAAAAACTATGGCAATTTTTGCTTTACGGCAATAGCCTGGAATCTATCCCGCTGTATAATTGGGGCCCTCCTGTATTAAAGTTTTTTGTTTTTTCAAACAAGCCATATCCAACCTAGACATTAATATCATTTACTAACTGATCTTCCAATGGTGTGTTTTCTGAGCTCTTGATATTTTTACTTTCTATTCATAACAGTGAAATTGGACAGTATGTTGGAAAATTGATGGAACTAGCATGGCAAGAAAGAGAACAAAAGATGCAAGAACGACAAACACTTTGGGCACGGCTTGATCACACAGAAAAGGAACTCCACGATGTCACCACACAAATGAAAGAAAAGATATGCTCCATTGTTGAAGATGTTGAACGAAGAGTAAGTGTAACAAGGCTGTTTTTAGTAAATGTCAGTGTTATATAGTGAATTACTGTTTTATCATAATAAATACCATATTTAAAATTGGGAATATCATTTCTAATCATTTGTAGGCCACTTGACTTAATTTGAAGGAAATAATTTAAATGAAAAATGTGTGTGTGGAGGGGGACTCTTGACATGCTAAAAAATTGCTACACAGTGGAACCTCGGGTTACGAACGCCCCACCATGCGAATTTTTCTGGACATGAACCATCGTGCGGTCGACTGTTTGCTTCAGGATATGAAAGAAATTTCAGGATGCGAACTTCCCTCAAGGGAGGTTCCTTAAATAAATAAATAAATAAATAAAATATATATTTCTTTGCAAAGGTTACAGTGTGTGTTTACATATCATAATGTGATTGGAGCAAAGAAAGCCACTATCATGCCGAGGCATTTCGGGCAGAAATGCCTACTTAAGATTACTTAAGTCTAGACAGGTGAAAAGTGTACTAGTAGTGCTTACCATTGTTTTGCTTGTGGTGGTGCCAACTACTGGCAGCCTTTTGAAGTTTCTCCTTACTGTTGTTGTTATTATTATTATTTTTTTCTCTCTTCCTTTCTTTTTTAACAAGTCGGCCATCTCCCACCGAGGCAGGGTGACCCAAAAAGAAAGAAAATCCCCCAAACAAGAAAATACTTTCATCATCATTCAACACTTTCACCTCATTCACACATAATCACTGTTTTTGCAGAGGTGCCCAGAATACAACAGCTTAGAAGCATATACATATAAAGGTACACAACATATCCCTCCAAACTGTCAATAGCCCAAACCACTCCTTTAAAGTGCAGGCATTGTACTTCCCATTTCCAGGACTCAAGTCCGGCTGTATAAAAATAACCGGTTTCCCTGAATCCCTTCACTAAATATTACCCTGTTCACACTCCAACAGCTTGTCAGGTCCCAAATACCATTTATCTCCATTCACTCCTAGCTAACACACTCACACACGCTTGCTGGAAGTCCAAGCCCCTCGCCCACAAAACCTCCTTTACCCCCTTCCCCCAACCTTTTCGAGGACGACCCTTACCCCGTCTTCCTTTCCCTACAGATTTATATGCTCTCCATGTCATTCTACTTTGATCCATTCTCTCTAAATGACCAAACCACCTTAACAACCCCTCTTCAGCCCTCTGGCTAATACTTTTATTAACTTAACACCTTCTCCTAATTTCCACCCTCCGAATTTTCTGCATAATATTTACACCACACATTGCCCTTAGACAGGACATCTCCACTGCCTCCAACCGCCTCCTCGCTGCAGTGAGGAGTGTTGGTACTACTATACTTTCATACATTCCCTTCTTTGCCCCCATAGATAACGTTTTTTGTCTCCATATACACCTCAACCCACCACTTGCCTTTTTTCCTTCATCAATTCTATGATTAACCTCATCCTTCATAAATCCATCCGCTGACACGTCAACTTCCAAATATCTGAAAACATTCACTTCTTCCATACTACTACTCCCCAATTTGATATCCAATTTTTCTTTATCTAAATCATTTGATACCCTCATCACCTTACTCTTTTCTATGTTCAATGTCAACTTTCTACCTTTACACACACTCCCAAACTATTATACTGTTATATTGTATTATTATTATTATAATAATAAATATTATTATTATTATAATAAATATGAATGTGTAAATTCAAGAATTATGTGGATTAAAGTAAAGGTTGGATGCGAAAAGTGGGTCATAATAAGCGTGTATGCACCTGGAGAAGAGAGGAATGTAGAGGAGAGAGAGAGAGATTTTGGGAGATGTTAAGGGAATGTATAGGAGCCTTTGAACCAAGTGAGAGAGTAATTGTGGTAGGGGATCTGAATGCTAAAGTAGGAGAAACTTTTAGAGAGGGTGTGGTAGGTAAGTTTGGGGTGCCAGGTGTAAATGATAATGGGAGCCCTTTGATTGAACTTTGTATAGAAAGGGGTTTAGTTATAGGTAATACATATTTTAAGAAAAAGAGGATAAATAAGTATACAAGATATGATGTAGGGCGAAATGACAGTAGTTTGTTGGATTATGTATTGGTAGATAAAAGACTGTTGAGTAGACTTCAGGATGTACATGTTTATAGAGGGGCCACAGATATATCAGATCACTTTCTAGTTGTAGCTACACTGAGAGTAAAAGGTAGATGGGATACAAGGAGAATAGAAGCATCAGGGAAGAGAGGTGAAGGTTTATAAACTAAAAGAGGAGGCAGTTAGGGTAAGATATAAACAGCTATTGGAGGATAGATGGGTTAATGAGAGCATAGGCAATGGGGTCGAAGAGGTATGGGGTAGGTTTAAAAATGTAGTGTTAGAGTGTTCAGCAGAAGTTTGTCGTTACAGAAAAGTGGGTGCGGGAGGGAAGAGAAGCGATTGGTGGAATGATGATGTAAAGAGAGTAGTAAGGGAGAAAAAGTTAGCATCTGAGAAGTTTTTACAAAGTAGAAGTGATGCAAGGAGGGAAGAGTATATGGAGAAAAAGAGAGAGGTTAAGAGAGTGGTGAAGCAATGTAAAAAGAGAGCAAAATGAGAGAGTGGGTGAGATGTTATCAACAAATTTTGTTGAAAATAAGAAAAAGTTTTGGAGTGAGAGTAACAAGTTAAGGAAGCCTAGAGAACAAATGGATTTGTCAGTTAAAAATAGGAAAGGAGAGTTATTAAATGGAGAGTTAGAGGTATTGGGAAGATGGAGTGAATATTTTGAGGAATTGTTAAATGTTGATGAAGATAGGGAAGCTGTGATTTCGTGTATAGGGCAAGGAGGAATAACATCTTGTAGGAGTGAGGAAGAGCCAGTTGTGAGTGTGGGGGGAGTTCGTGAGGCAGTAGGTAAAATGAAAGGGGGTAAGGCAGCCGGGATTGATGGGATAAAGATAGAAATGTTAAAAGCAGGTGGGGATATAGTTTTGGAGTGGTTGGTGCAATTATTTAATAAATGTATGGAAGAGGGTAAGGTACCTAGGGATTGGCAGAGAGCATGCATAGTTCCTTTGTATAAAGGCAAAGGGGACAAAAGAGAGTGCAAAAATTATAGGGGGATAAGTCAGTTGAGTATACCTGGTAAAGTGTATGGTAGAGTTATTATTGAAAGAATTAAGAGTAAGACGGAAAATAGGATAGCAGATGAACAAGGAGGCTTTAGGAAAGGTAGGGGGTGTGTGGACCAGGTATTTACAGTGAAACATATAAGTGAACAGTATTTATGTAAGGCTAAAGAGGTCTTTGTGGCATTTATGGATTTGGAAAAGGCGTATGACAGGGTGGATAGGGGGGGCAATGTGGCAGATGTTGCAGGTGTATCATGTAGGAGGTAGGTTACTGAAAGCAGTGAAGAGTTTTTACGAGGATAGTGAGGCTCAAGTTAGAGTATGTAGGAAAGAGGGAAGTTATTTCCCAGTAAAAGTAGGCCTTAGACAAGGATGTGTGATGTCACCATGGTTGTTTAATGTATATATAGATGGGGTTGTAAGAGAAGTAAATGCGAGGGTCTTGGCAAGAGGCGTGGAGTTAAAAGATAAAGAATCACACATAAAGTGGGAGTTGTCACAGTTGCTCTTTGCTGATGACACTGTGCTCTTGGGAGATTCTGAAGAGAAGTTGCAGAGATTGGTGGATGAATTTGGTAGGGTGTGCAAAAGAAGAAAATTAAAAGTGAATACAGGAAAGAGTAAGGTTATGAGGATAACAAAAATATTAGGTGATGAAAGATTGGATATCAGATTGGAGGGAGAGAGTATGGAGGAGTGAATGTATTCAGATATTTGGGAGTGGACGTGTCAGCGGATGGGTCTATGAAAGATGAGGTGAATCATAGAATTGATGAGGGGAAAAGGGTGAGTGGTGCACTTTGGAGTCTGTGGAGACAAAGAACTTTGTCCTTGGAGGCAAAGAGGGGAATGTATGAGAGTATAGTTTTAACCAACGCTCTTATATGGGTGCGAAGCATGGGTGATGAATGTTGCAGCGAGGAGAAGGCTGGAGGCAGTGGAGATGTCATGTCTGAGGGCAATGTGTGGTGTGAATATAATGCAGAGAATTTGTAGTTTGGAAGTTAGGAGGAGGTGCGGGATTACCAAAACTGTTGTCCAGAGGGCTGAGGAAGGGTTGTTGAGGTGGTTCGGACATGTAGAGAGAATGGAGCGAAACAGAGTGACTTCAAGAGTGTATCAGTCTGTAGTGGAAGGAAGGCGGGGTAGGGGTTGGCCTATGAAAGGTTGGAGGGAGGGGGTAAAGAAGGTTTTGTGTGCGAGGGGCTTGGACTTCCAGCAGGCATGCGTGAGCGTGTTTCACAGGAGTGAATGGTGACAAATGGTTTTTAATACTTGACGTGCTGTTGGAGTGTGAGCAAAGAAACATTTATGAAGGGATTCAGGGAAACCGGCAGGCCGGACTTGAGTCCTGGAGATGGGAAGTACAGTGCCTGCACTCTGAAGGAGGGGTGTTAATGTTGCAGTTTAAAAACTGTAGTGCAAAGCACCCTTCTGGCAAGACAGTGATGGAGTGAATGATGGTGAAAGTTTTTCTTTTTCGGGCCACCCTGCCTTGGTGGGAATCGGCCAGTGTGATGATGATAAATTATTATTATTATTATTAGTAGTAGTAGTAGTTGTATGTTTGTATGTGGTGAGGGGCTCTTGATCTAGGGATTTGGATCTGTGCTCCAGGTCCCTAAATTAATAATAATAATAATATTATTATTATTATTCTTTCTTTCAACACACTGGCCATATCCCACCGAGGCGGGGTGGCCCAAAAGGAAAAACAAAAGCTTCTCCTTTATACTATTATTATTATTATTATTATTATTATTATTATTATTATAATAATACTTACTAATAATGATAATACATAATAATTATGTATAATATAATAATAATATAATACTATGATACATAATAGTACAATAACAATAATTATAATAATAATACGTACTACGTACGTACTGCGTATAATTTAGTTTGGCAACACCACCACAAAGGTCACCAGTGCACGTGCTTACGGAACAACCCTCGCGGTGCAAGGAATTTTCGTGATTTCCTTACGTTTCGTGCAGTTAATTCACTAGATTTATTTCTTCTAACCATGGGCCCTAAGGAAGCAAGTGCAAAGGACAGTGCCGAGAAGAAAAAGAGGATGATTTTCATGGAATTAAAGAAAGAAATAATTAATGATCACGGACTAGGTACAAGGGTTGAGGTCTTAGCCAGTTGAGTACAAGCTAAGCCCCTCTACTATATGTACCTATGAGTTTAGCACTTCCCCATGATTATAATAATAATAATAATAATCTACTACATATATGTAAAATTCTAAAGCAGGAGTCTATAAAGGCTTTTACTCTCACCACGACACCAAAACCAAACGTGGTGTAATTATATGCTTCTTCCTGCGTGCACTCAGAATCTGCAGCAATGAGTTTCTTGAAGAAGAATGCACGATGATTGAACAAGTATTTTCTAAACTCCACTATCCTCGTCACTTCATCAGAGACTGCAGACGACGGGCATTAAACATCTTCAACACACCCAGAGAAGACACTGCCGAGAAGAGATACATAGTCCTCCCCACCAACTCCATTGCCAAACATGTTTCCAACATCTTTTCCAATACCTCATTTCAAGTATCTACCTCCACAACCACGACCATCAAGGACATTACCAGTGATAGACAGGACAAGCTTCCACCCTCTGCAGGGGTATACATAATCCCTTGTAATGACTGCAACAAGTTATACGTGGGCGACACATCAAGGGACCTCCAAACACGTATTTCAGAACACCAATACGCAAGCAGGTCTGACGACACAAGGGATGCCTGCGTACAACACCGTAATTCACACAACCACTTGATAAACTACAGAAACTTAAGACTTATCTCCACAGAAGACAACACTCAATACCGAAGAATCCTGGAATCATCACTTATTTCTATATCCGACAACTTCAACCAGAATAGTGGCTTCTATAACATAGCTGAACCACTTGCCAAGAAACTTCTTCATCGCTATCCCACATAAGAACACTGTAGAAGGTCTGCTCACAAACTTATCCAATCTCCTTTCCAAGCTACCCAAGTTTTTAGACTCTATAACCCCACTCGGTGCATCATCAGATGCAGCATTCTCCACCTGACCTCAGCATTCTGAACCAGACTATAAATACTCGCGTTCCTTCCACCCCAGGTAGTTCTTTTTGTGACTTGAAAAAGCCCACTGTGTGGGCGAAACGTAGTCAATAAAGGATCACATTATACTGCATATGTGTTTATATTTCCAAAGGACATTACAGTAATTTCTAAGCAGTGGACCTCTGTCAATTAAAAGATGGTAAAGCTGCTGTTGACATGGTTGGTGGAGAAACAGCTCACAAGAGATACGTAGTGTAGCGAAATAAACATAAAAATTGTACATAGCAGTTCTTAAGAAAAGTGTGAACTCCTGACAGGATATGCTGCTCTGCATTTGTTCTCCAGGGTATGGAATGTCATATGTACACCAGATCTAATTCAATTAGCCTCACAAACTCCGTTTTCTCTTATAATAATACCTCTGACATTTTCATAGCGAGAATGCGCGACCGCTCCCGACCACAATCCTCCTCCCTCCGCTGTCCATGTAATGATATATTCTATTCATTCTGGAGTGCGTATCAGGTTTATTTGTTATTTATATTGTTTATTATGTCATATTAGATGAATTGTGACAGATAAATAAGCCGTAGAGTTGATATTAGGGTTATTTTGTCATGCCTCCTGAGAGCAGGAATTCAGCTGGAACGAAATAATTGCATTTCAGTTAATTTAAATGAGGAAAATTGACCCAGGATACGAACAAATCAGGATACAAAAAAGTCCGCAGAATGGATTAAATTTGTAACCCGAGGTTCCACTGTGCTGTCATACGCCTGAATACATGAGAGAAATTGGTAAAAAATAAATTTTATATTTTTTACTTTCCTTAATTTTTTTGAGAGAAGAGACAAATGTTTTAAATATATTCAGGAAATTTTTTAATTTTGTCACAGGTGTCTAATGCTCTTAATGAAGAAATTCGTCGACTGTCGGTACTAGTGGACGAGTTCAATGAACCATTCCATCCAGATCCCCTAGTGTTGAATGTATTTAAGAAGACACTTCATGCCCATGTAGAGTCAGGGTTGGGGTCCAACCTGCGTGCAAGACTATCTTCAGCTTTGGCTCTCAACATAGAAAGCAGTCAAGCAGAAATGACAAGTTAGTGATAATTTACATTTTTATTTAATTTATTATGTAATTCTTTGTCATGGGTAGTAGGTTGGTAGACAGCAATCACCCAGGGAGGTACTACCGTCCTGCCAAGTCAGTGTAAAACGAAAACCTGTAATTGTTTTACATGATGGTAGGATTGCTGGTGTCTTTTGTCTGTAAGGTGTTTGTATTATGGGTAAAAAGCTTCACAAACGCATGCATAATGCGAAATGAATGCGTATGGACTTCAAGTGGACAGGTATTAATACATGTTCATCTGACCACCCACCACCCATTCACATTCAGTTTGTTTACATTCTCCGCATCTCTCGTTCTCTCTTGTTTACTCATGTGGTAGCCGGGTGGGCTGCCACATCTCCTGACTTCCTACAATATATACTACTCTCCTCTCACCCAACATTAAGACTACAAATATTTTAAGGTAAGTAATGAGTATTTTGTATGTACATACATTCTAATTTTTTATTTTTATTTTATTCCTATTGCTATTGCTAACTTAATATATGATAGTCTAAACATGAAAGCAACGAGGAGAATGTATGAGAGTAAAGTTATACCAACGCTTTTGTATAAATGTGAGGCATGGGTTGTGAATGTTGCAACAAGGAAAAGGCTGGAGGCAGTGGAGATGTCATGTCTGAGGGCAATGTGTGGTGTGAATAAAATGCAGAGAATCCGTAGTTTGGAGATTAGGAGAAGGTGTGGGATTACCAAAACTATTATCCAGAAGGCTGAGAAGGGGTTATTGAGATTGTTTGGACTTGTAGAGAGGATAGAACAAAATAGAATGACTTCGAGAGTGTATAAATCTGTAGTGGAAGGAAGGCGGGGTAGGGGTTGGCCTTGGAAAGGTTGGAGGGAGGGTGTAAAGGAGGGTTTGTGTGCGAGGGGCTTGGACTTTCAGCAAGCGTGCATGAGCGTGTTAGATAGCGAATGGAGACAAGTGGTTTTTAGGACTTGACGTGCTGTTGGAGTGTAAACAAGGTAACATTTATGAAGGGATTCAAGGACACTGGCAGGCTGGACTTGATTCCTGGAGATGGGAAGTACAGTGTCTACTGGAGGGGTGTTAATGTTGCAGTTTTATAACTAGTGTAGGCATGCCTCTGGCAAGACAATGATGGAGTGAATGATGAAAGTTTTTCTTTTTCGGGCCACCCTGCCTTGGTGGGAAATGGCCGCTGTGTTAATAAAAAATAAAAACAAAAGTGTAAACATGTTATCAGGCATTTATATGCCTGATAATACGGCAGTCTTCTCTTTACAGCAATAGTCTGGAACCTAACCCTTCGTATAAGTGGGGCCCTCCTGTACTTAGATTGTATATTACAGAGGTGGGAAGTACAGTGCCTGTGCTCTGAAGGAGGGGTTGAGATATGTTGCAATTTTTTAACTTTAATGTAGTCAAGCCTTTGGCAAGCCAGTGACGAAGTGAATGATCATGAAAGTGTCTCTTCTTTTTGGGGTCGCCCTGCCTCAGTGGAAAACAGCCAGTGTGTTAATAAAAAAAAAATCTAAAGTTTCTTTTATTCACACGTTATAAGAATGAGAAAAACATATGTCCATATCTAAGAATATGAACAGTAATTATACATAAAATTACATCAGCATAGAACTTGCCGTCAAAGTAATGATCCTAATTATATAATGATAAACAGGAAGATAATACTACAAATAATAATAATTAAAATGATAATAATAATGATATCCTTTAAAATTTTCAGATTATGTGTAATATAAACTGTATTTGCTGTTTTTATGAAAAGTATCATATGCATATATAGAAAAGGCATATAATAGGGTGTATAGGGGAGCAATGTGGCAGATGTTGTGAGTGTATGGGATAGGTAGTAAGTTACTAAATGCTGTAAAGAGTTTTGATGAGGATAGCGAGGCTCTGGTTAGGGCGTGTAGGAGAGAGGGAAATAACTTTCCAGTAAAAGTAGGTCTTAGACAGGGATGTGTAATGTCACCATGGTTTAACTTATTTATAGATGGGGTTGTAAAAGAAGTGAATGCTAGATAGGGTGTTTGGGAGAGGGGTGGGATTAAATTATGGGGAATCAAATACAAAATGGGAATTGACACAGTTACTTTTTGCTGATGATACTTTACTTATGGGAGAGTCTAAAGAAAAGTTGCAAAGGTTAGTGGACGAGTTTGAGAGGGTGTGTAAAGGTAGAAAGTTGAAGTGGAAATTAGGAGGTGTGGAGTTACTAACAGTGTTATTCAGAGGGCTGACGAAGGGTTGTTGAGGTGGTTTGGTTATTTAGAAAGGATAGAGCAAAATAGGATGACTTGGAGGGTGTATAATTCTGTAATGGAGGGGTAGGGGTCATCCTAGGAAAGGATGGAGGGAGGGGGTAAAAGAGGTTTTGTGTGCAAGGGGCTTGGACATGCAGCAGGCATATGTGAGCATGTTAGATAATAGTGAATGGAGATGAATAGTTTTTGGGACTTGATGAGATGTTGGAATGTGAGCAGGTTAATAATTTGTGAAGGGATTCAGGAAAACCGGTTAGCCGGACTTGAATCCTGGAGGTGGGAAGTACAATGCCTGCACTTTAAAGGATGGAGTTTGGGATTTTTGCTGTTTATAGTGACATCAAAACTGTTGTATCTGAGTGCCTCTGTAAAGACAATGATTATGTGTGAATAATGGTGAAAGTGTTTCTTTCTTTTTTGGGTCACCCTGCCTTGGTGGGAGATGACTGATGTTTAAAAAAAAAAAAAAAAATAATGGTGAATTACAGTATTTGAGCAAGTATATAATGTACCTCATCACTTCTAAAGAACATCACTTTCAACATTATACTGAACATATTATTCTTGTTAGGTAAGGAAGACACAAGTGCAACTAATATGACATTTTATTGGGGCATCATTTTGCTCTCCAGGAGCTTTGTCAAGCCATCTCAGTTTGATAAAGCTCCCGGAGAGCGAAACATTGCCACAGTAAAATGTTGCATTAGTTGCACTTGTGTCCTTTTACCTAACATATTGTCGGTAATTCTACCAACATTATTACATTATTATTCTTCGTTATATTCAGATTATTACTAAATTTTAAAAGAGAAACTTTCGTCTTTCTTTCTAGGTCACCCTCCCTCGGTATGATACAGCCAGTTTGTTTTAAAAAAAAAAATCTGAATACTGTAAATGTTATTTCATGCTTTCTGTTTTCATCTAGAACGAATGTTGGCATTGCTTGGGAATGAGAAGCGTGAATTGGCCAGCACGATGTTACCCAGACGGGAACCCTTTGAAATTTTATACCGCCTCAATTGTGAAAATCTCTGTGCTGACTTTCAGGTGAGAACTGGATCCTTAAATACGTAGGTTTATATTAGATTGCTTTCTTTTATCATCTGTGTATTGCATTTTTTTTTTTCATTTGAAACGAAGATGTTTGCTAATTTTTTTTTTTTTTTTTTTTTTTTTTTACAGGAGGATATAGAGTTCAAGTTTTCTCTAGGGTTGGTATCCCTCGTTCAGCGTCTCATGGGAAAAGCTAGCAGCCGCATTGTAAATCAAAGACACAAGGAAAATGTGAGGCTTTATTTTGTATAATTGTACAAAACAAATAAAATTTTAAAGCAAAATATCTATTGCTTTATTTTGTATTGTTTACATTATACAGGTCTCCCTCAACATTCACGAGGGTTAGGGGATCAAGAGCCTCGCGAATGTTGAAAAACCGTGAATGTTTGGTGCCCCAATATATTGTAGGGAAATATAATACAATACTGCTTCCTTAACTTGTTGAACCATGAACAATCATAAAATACATGAAAACGTTGTAAATTGTACTAAATATATACATGTTATGCTTTAATAACATGTATGTTATTAAATACCACAGACTCCACCAATGCCTCCACCACTTCCCCAACCACTGCGAGTCCCTACTACCCTCCCTCCGACCCCCGCAACTGGCAGCCAGCCCTCCCACCACTCAGTGTGGTGAGTGTTTTGTTTGTTCATTATTTGCTATTAAACTACAGTATAAATAATGTAAACCCATTCATGATTGCATATTGGAATGGCTATTCGGACAGGTATTGGACGGTGACATCATGTGTTTAGTCTTGAACACGGCAAAGAATCAAACATTTCTGCTACTGCTAATAATAACAATAGTAATAATAATAATAATAATAATATAATAATAATAATAATACGATATAATTGAAGAAGGAAATTGTACAAAAATACGAGGGAGTGGTTGACACATCGTCAGTGTGGCTTTGTTTATGCTGGAGTGAACATTAGTCTCCCTGCTCTTCCAAACATTTCACAATAATTCAGCGGTTGAGGCAGTGGTATTTAATAACATATATGTTATAAATAATAATAGTACATATTAATAACATGTATTATTATTATTAATAACATGTATGTTATTAAATACCACTGCCTCAATCGCTTCCTCACCAGCTGCCTCACCCACTGCCTCAGTCGCTGCTTCAACAGTTGCCTCAATCGCTGCCTCAACAGCTGCCTCAACAGCTGCCTCAACAGCTGCCTCAATTGCTTCCTCAACAGCTGCCTCAATCGCTGCCTCAACAGCTGCCTCAACAGCTGCCTCAATCGCTGCCTCAACAGCTGCCTCAATTGCTGCCTCAACAGCTGCCTCAATCGCTGCCTCAACAGCTGCCTCAATCGCTTCCTCAACAGCTGCCTCACCCGCTGCCTCAATCGCTGCCTCAACAGCTGCCTCAGTGACCACTGTCTCAATTGCTGCCTCAACAGCTACCTCAATTGCTGCCTCAACAGCTGCCTCAATCGCTGCCTCAACAGCTGCCTCAATCGCTGCCTCAACAGCTGCCTCAATCGCTGCCTCAATCGCTGCCTCAACAGCTGCCTCAATCGCTGCCTCATGCACTGCCTCATGCACTGCCTCATGCACTGCCTCAACAGCTGCCTCAACAGCTGCCTCACCCACTGCCTCAATTGCTGCCTCAACAGCTGCCTCACCCACTGCCTCAATAGCTGCCTCAACCACTGCCTCAATCGCTGCCTCAACAGCTGCCTCAATCGCTGCCTCAACAGCTGCCTCACCCTCTGCCTCAATCGCTGCCTCACCCACTGCCACAATCGCTGCCTCAACAGCTGCCTCAACAGCTGCCTCAACCACTGCCTCTACCACTCCAGCCGCACTCAATCTACAAGTACCAAACACAATGAATTATTGTGAAATGTTTATTAGAGCAGGGAGACTAATGCTCACTCCAGCATAAACAAAGCCACACTGACGATGTGTCAACCACTCCCTCGTATTTTTGTACAACTTCCTTCTTCAATTATATCGTATTTATTATTATTATTATTATTATTATTCTTCTTTTCTTTCAACATACCAGCCGTATCCCACCGAGGTGAGGTGGCCCAAAAGAAAAAACTGAAGTTTCTCCTTTTAAATTTAGTAATATATACAGGAGAAGGGGTTACTAGCCCCTTGCTCCCGGCATTTTAGTCGCCTCATACGACACGCATGGCTTACGGAGGAAAGATTCTTTTCCACTTCCCCATGGACTATTATTATTATTATTATTATTATTATTATTATTATTACTATTGTTATTATTAGCAGTAGCAGAAATGTTTGATTCTTTGCTGTGTTCAAGAGTAAACACGTCACCGTCTAATACCTGTCCGAATAACCATTCCAATATGCAGTCATGAATGGGTTTACATTATTTATACTGCAGTTTAATAGCAAATAATGAACAAACAAAACACTCACCACACTGAGTGGTGGGAGGGCTGGCTGCCAGTTGCGGGGGTCGGTGGGAGGGTAGTAGGGACTCGCAGGTGGCGGGAAACTTGAATATGATTTGGCGGCTGGGAATTCGCGAATGTGTGAAGCCCGCGAAAGCTGAAAACGTGAATGTTGAGGGAGACCTGTACATTATATATGTATAAACTTTTCAATAATTTAAAACAACGAATTTAGTAAAATTCTCTTCATAGTTTTGCTTTGGTAAGCATCCAGTAGTGATGCATAAACAAGCATTGTACTAAACTATTAGGCATGTTAATTAGGCATGTACATACTTTTTTTTTTTTTAACATGTTGGCCGTCTCCCACCAAGGCAGGGTGACCCAAAAAGAAAGAAAATCCCCAAAAAGAAAATACTTTTGTCATCATTCAACACTTTCAGCTCACTCATACATAATCACTGTTTTTGCAGAGGTGCTCAGAATACAACAGCTTAGAAGCATATACGTATTAAGATACACAAAATATCCCTCCAAACTGCCAATATCCTAAACCCCTCCTTTAAAGTGCAGGCATTGTGCTTCCCATTTCCAGGACTCAAGTCTGGCTATATGAAAATAACTGGGTTCCCTGAATTCCTTCACTAAATATTACCCTGCTCACACTCCAACAGCTCATCAGGTCCCAAATACCATTCGTCTCCATTCACTCCTATCTAACACACTCACGCACACTTGCTGGAAGTCCAAGCCCCTCACCCACAAAACCTTTACCCCCTCCCTCCATTCTTTTCGAGGACGACCCCTACCCCTCCTTCCTTCCCCTACAGATTTATATGCTCTCCATGTCATTCTACTTTGATCCATTCTCTCTAAATGACCAAACCACCTCAACAACTCTTCAGCCCTCTGGCTAATACAGTGGACCTCCGCTTAACGATCACCTCCCAATGCGACCAATTATGTAAGTGTATTTATGTAAGTGCGTTTGTACGTGTATGTTTGGGGGTCTGAAATGGACTAATCTACTTCACAATATTCCTTATGGGAACAAATTCGGTCAGTACTGGCACCTGAACATACTTCTGGAATGAAAAAATATCGTTAACCAGGGGTCCGCTGTACTTTTATTAACTCCACACCTCCTCCTAATTTCCAGACTCCAAATTCTCTGCATAATATTTACACCACACATTGCCCTTAGATAGGACATTTCCACTGCCTCCAGCCGTCTCCTCGCTGCAGCATTTGCAACCCAATCTTCACACCCATATAAGAGTGTTGGTACCAGTATACTTTCATACATTCCCTTCTTTGCCTCCATAGATAATGTTTTTTGTCTCCACATATACCTCAATGCACCACTCACCTTTTTCCTTCATCAATTCTATGGTTAACCTCATCCTCCATAAATCCATCCGCTGACACGTCAACTCCCAAATACCTGAAAACATTCACTACTTCCATACTCCTTCTCTCCAATTTGATATCCAATTTTTCTTTATCTAAATCATATGATACCTCATCACCTTACTCTTTTCTATATTCACTTTCAACTTTCTGCCTTTACACGCTCTCCCAAACTTGTCCACTAACCTTTGCAATTTTTCTTTAGAATCTCCCATAAGCACAGTATCATCAGCAAAAAGCAACTGTGTCAATTCCCATTTTGTATTTGATTCCTCATAATTTAATCCCACCCATCTCCCGAGCACCCTAGCATTTACTTCTTTTGCAACCCCATCTATAAATATATTAAACAATCATGGTGACATTACACATCCCTGTCTAAGACCTACTTTTACTGGGAAGTAGTCTCCCTCTCTTGTACACACCCTAACCTGAGCCTCACTATCCTCATAAAAGCTCTTTACAGCATTTAGTAACTTAACTACCTATTCCATATACTTGCAACATCTGCCACATTGCTCCCCTATCCACTCTATCATATTCCTTTTCTAAATCCATAAATGCAATGAAAACTTCTCTACCTTTATCTAAATACTGTTCACATATATGCTTCAAGGATACAAGGAAAATAGAAGCATCAGGGAAGAGAGAGGTGAAGGCTTATAAACTAAAAGAGGAGGCAGTTAGGGTAAGATATAAACAGCTATTGGAGGATAGAATGGCTAATGAGAGCATAGGCAATGGGGTCGAAGAGGTATGGGGTAGGTTTAAAAATGTAGTGTTACAGTGTTCAGCAGAAGTTTGTGGTTACAGGAAAGTGGGTGCGGGAGGGAAGAGGAGCGATTGGTGGAATGATGATGTGAAGAGAGTAGTAAGGGAGAAAAAGTTAGCATATGAGAAGTTTTTACGAAGTAGAAGTGATGCAAGGAGGGAAGAGTATATGGAGAAAAAGAGAGAGGTTAAGAGAGTGGTGAAGCAATGTAAAAAGAGAGCAAATGAGAGAGTGGGTGAGATGTTATCAACAAATTTTGTTGAAAATAAGAAAAAGTTTTGGAGTGAGATTAACAAGTTAAGAAAGCCTAGAGAACAAATGGATTTGTCAGTTAAAAATAGGAGAGGAGAGTTATTAAATGGAGAGTTAGAGGTATTGGAAGATGGAGGGAATATTTTGAGGAATTGTTAAATGTTGATGAAGATAGGGAAGCTGTGATTTCGTGTATAGGGCAAGGAGGAACAACATCTTGTAGGAGTGAGGAAGAGCCAGTTGTGAGTGTGGGGGAAGTTCGTGAGGCAGTAGGTAAAATGAAATGGGGTAAGGCAGCCGGGATTGATGGGATAAAGATAGAAATGTTAAAAGCAGGTGGGGATATAGTTTTGGAGTGGTTGGTGCAATTATTTAATAAATGTATAGAAGAGGGTAAGGTACCTAGGGATTGGCAGAGAGCATGCATAGTTCCTTTGTATAAAGGCAAAGGGGATAAAAGAGAGTGCAAAAATTATAGGGGGATAAGTCTGTTGAGTATACCTGGCAAAGTGTATGGTAGAGTTATTGAAAGAATTAAGAGTAAGACGGAGAATAGGACAGCAGATGAACAAGGAGGCTTTAGAAAAGGTAGGGGATGTGTGGACCAGGTGTTTACAGTGAAACATATAAGTGAACAGTATTTAGATAAGGCTAAAGAGGTCTTTGTGGCATTTATGGATTTGGAAAAGGCGTATGACAGGGTGGATAGGGGGGCAATGTGGCAGATGTTGCAGGTGTATGGTGTAGGAGGTAGGTTACTGAAAGCAGTGAAGAGTTTTTACGAGGATAGTGAGGCTCAAGTTAGAGTATGTAGGAAAGAGGGAAATTATTTCCCAGTAAAAGTAGGCCTTAGACAAGGATGTGTGATGTCACCGTGGTTGTTTAATATATTTATAGATGGGGTTGTAAGAGAAGTAAATGCGAGGGTCTTGGCAAGAGGCGTGGAGTTAAAACATAAAGAATAGCACATAAAGTGGGAGTTGTCACAGTTGCTCTTTGCTGATGACACTGTGCTCTTGGGAGATTCTGAAGAGAAGTTGCAGAGATTGGTGGGTGAATTTGGTAGGGTGTGCAAAAGAAGAAAATTGAAAGTGAATACAGGAAAGAGTAAGGTTATGAGGATAACAAAAAAATTAGGTGATGAAAGATTGGATATCAGATTGGAGGGAGAGAGTATGGAGGAGGTGAATGTATTCAGATATTTGGGAGTGGACGTGTCAGCGGATGGGTCTATGAAAGATGAGGTGAATCATAGAATTGATGAGGGGAAAAGGGTGAGTGGTGCACTTAGGAGTCTGTGGAGACAAAGAACTTTGTCCTTGGAGGCAAAGAGGGGAATGTATGAGAGTATAGTTTTACCAACGCTCTTATATGGGTGTGAAGCATGGGTGATGAATGTTGCAGCGAGGAGAAGGCTGGAGGCAGTGGAGATGTCATGTCTGAGAGCAATGTGTGGTGTGAATATAATGCAGAGAATTCATAGTTTGGAAGTTAGGAGGAGGTGCGGGATTACCAAAACTGTTGTCCAGAGGGCTGAGGAAGGGTTGTTGAGGTGGCTCGGACATGTGGAGAGAATGGAGTGAAACAGAATAACTTCAAGAGTGTATCAGTCTGTAGTGGAAGGAAGGTGGGGTAGGGGTCGGCCTAGGAAAGGTTGGAGGGAGGGGGTAAAGGAGGTTTTGTGTGCGAGGGGCTTGGACTTCCAGCAGGCATGCGTGAGCGTGTTTGGTAGGAGTGAATGGAGACAAATGGTTTTTAATACTTGATGTGCTGTTGGAGTGTGAGCAAAGTAACATTTATGAAGGGGTTCAGGGAAACCGGCAGGCCGGACTTGAGTCCTGGAGATGGGAAGTACAGTGCCTGCACTCTGAAGGAGGGGTGTTAATGTTGCAGTTTAAAAACTGTAGTGTAAAGCACCCTTCTGGCAAGATAGTGATGGAGTGAATGATGGTGAAAGTTTTTCTTTTTCGGGCCACCCTGCCTTGGTGGGAGTCGGCCAGTGTGATAATAAAAATAAAAAAAAAATATGCTTGAATGTAAACACTTGATCTACACATCCCCTACCCACTCTAAAACCTCCTTGCTCATCCGCAATCCTACATTCTGTCTTACCTCTAATTCTTTCAATAATAACCCTACCGTACACTTGTCCTGGTATACTCAGTAAACTAATTCCTCTATAATTTTTACAGTCTCTTTTGTCCCCCTTTCCTTTATATAAAGGAACTATACATGCTCTTTGCCAATCCCTAGGTATTTTCCTCTCTCATACATTTATTAAACAAAGATACCAACCACTCTAACACTATATCATCCCCCCTGCTTTTAACATTTCCATCATGATCTCGTCAGTTCCAGCTGCTTTACCCCCTTTCATTCTACATGCCTCACTCGCCTTCCCCCACACTCACATCCTGCTCTTCTTCACTCCTACAAGATGGTATGTCTTTGAGTGATTAAATGCATTGTTTCGAGTTGAATGGGGTTACTTAAATCAAGGTTTGCCTATACATATATATAGACCTGGAAGTAAGGGACTTTTGATAATTAAATTAGTGTGCTAAATCAAGTATCCTGTACATTTTTTAGGGCATTTGTAATGGTTGGTGACTTAGAACTGTAAATGATCATTATGTAAAGGATTTGAGAGCAATAGCCTTACTAAAATATGGAAAAATTCATCTTGATGCAAATAGTATTCTTTTCTGAATGTTTGTTTACTGTATGGAATAAATAAGCATATGAAATAGAATAATCAATTTAAAGAAATTTTCAGATTCCCCGGAGTGTGCCTATGACTCCATTGACACCAAGCAATGAACCACAGTTTGGCTTACCCCAGGATGACTGGTCCATAATCAGTCGTTTTGCTGTTGCCAGCATAGGCTCTCAGGGTACTATGGGTCTTGCCCTTGCATTAGGCCTGGTAAGTTTGGTTCAGATACAGCTGGATTTTTTTATAATAGCTACTTTTCTGCCTCCAAATTTTTCATATACTTGCAGTATTTCCGAGCTTTAAACTAGTTTGATATACCATATGTAGCCTTGTGCCTTCAATATAGCAGTCTTTCATCAACAACTTGGATATTTCTTTCTCAGTAAAGTATTTTAATTTTTTTGCAGTTCTTATGATTAAAGTAGTTGATTCAAAACTATTGAAAGAATTCCCTCAATAATTTTGGGCAGTGAGTAGTTTATTTTTGGCAGACATTTCCTCCAAACATAGTTTTATTTATTGATACACATGGAGAAGGAATGATGAGGAGCATGGACACAAGATGGTGAGGTATAAAAGTGAAGACTAATCCAAGTGTTGTCTGAAAGTTGAAACATATTTAATGATAATGCATTACTGGTAAATGGTTAAGAATAGGCAATAGGGAAGTGAATGATAGGTTTGGAATAGGAGATAATACATTAAGAGAAATACATTACTTTGTGGCTAATTATAGATAATCATAATACAGTCACATTTCATAGATTACAGTCTTACCATAAAGTTGTTAATCAAGTTGATACAAAAAGTGGATAAAATCTCAAGATTTATTTACATAAGTAACACTAAATTCATTGAGTATTTTTATAGATTACAGGCTCATCATATAGTACACTTATTAAGCTGAAACAAATTATGGATACTATCTCAAGATTTCAGATATTAACAGTAAAGTGATTTGCTGTATCATGTTGTAAATGATTAGTAGCCAACATGAAGGAATTTTTAGACAGTAAAACATCGTAGAAAATTATTTTTAATAGAGCTGTCTATAAGTTTGTTTGATATGGCCCTCTCTTACCAGCCATTTCCCACCAAGACAGTCCCCCAGAGATGAAAGAACATTCACTGTCATTTGTGTTTCATCTTTCTTTCTGGCTGCTACCCTTTAATATATCTTTCATGCCCTTCTTTGGACATTTTCTACATTGCTTTCCATTTACCTCAGATTTATACACCCTGGTAATTACCCTATAATACTTTTTTCTACATAAGGAAATTAGCTCGACATCCCTTTTTCTACTCAAAATTATACCTTTCATGCCACCACCTTGTCTTCTAATTACTATATTCCTTGTTTGTGCATATTGTGTGTACCACACTATCTGAGAGATACTTCCACCACCTCCAATTCTCTCCACTGTAATGTTTAAAGACCATGTTTCCCACCCATACAAAAGTATCAGCACCACTGTACTTTGATACATTCCTGTTTTTTGCTTCAGCTGACAAAACTTTTTCTGCAGTCCTCAACACAAACAATTTTCTTTTCCTCATCTGTTCTAGATTTGCCTCATCTTTCATAAAATCATCTCATAAATCCACTCTCAATAGTGTCTTCAATATATAGACTCGTCTGTTGATGCATACATGTTTCTACACAATGTGATATCATTTGTTTTAATAATAAGCATAATGTTGCTAAAATTTTGATTGCCAAAAAATGCCTCAGACCACTCAAAATGTACAATAAAAGCAGATTCTCTATGGTACATTCATTTCCTGACTATTTCCAATCTAACCTCCAGTCATTAATTCCTTGTATTACATAATTAAGTTTCCTTGTTTATACAGTATTTCATTTTCATGTGTGTATTCTACTTTCTTGTAGGATTCCCGATTGAAACAGCTGTTCTGTGCGTGACTTTCCATTTCACTATTCATCTTCCTTTATATTTACAACTAGTAACACCTCTAAATAACAAATTCCCATTTAATGAATTTTAGAAACTACACAAATATATTGGCCAGACTAACTTTGGAATCATTGGACAAAGCAGAAAAGTACATAGATTCCAGATTTTTTCATAATGATAGTGTCACTAGAGTCCAATAACCCTCTGAATCAACGGACCAAGCTTGATTATTCTGACATTTGTCCAGTTCAAGCCAGAAAGTCCTCATCCAGGACCTGTCTGTTTTCATTGTTCCCTGAGCCAGACTGACTGTATCAATTGATGGTCTGTTCTTGCTCATGGATACATGTGTCTGCTTGCTCATGGATACACTTGCCTGTGCTTGCTCACGAATACACTTCTCTAACAGTATCCAGTTTTCCCTGGATTTACAGTGTTTTGTGTGACTTTATTAACAAAATAAGTAAAAGTGCAATTAATAACAGTGTCTATAGCAAGTGGTGGTGCCAAGAGGAAACAAATGAATCTCAGTGTTAAGCAGAAACCTGAACAAATAAGGAAGGGTGAGTCAAGTGTCTCAGTGGCACGAGTATATAAGGAATATGGTGCTAGAAAACAGTGTCTGACATCCATAGAAGCAAGCAAATGACTATGCTCTTAGGTTTAGCATAGATGCTAACCATCTACTGGCAACACCAACATCCTGACTGATCAGAGGCTAGACTGATGTTAGAGGGTGGATGACTGAGTCTTCAACATTCATTTCTTCTGAACAACCCACAGGTTTAGTGCTTCAAGGAATAAATAGTAAATAGCTAGCCACCTACTACTCAGCCATCTACATTTTTACCAGTAGAGCTTCACAGCTCCTGTGACTCAGAATAACTTTTGTTCTAAGTCACCACTATTGATCATGGGACTTTACACCTCATCTTTACAACACAAAAGGTAAATACAATTACTGTATAATTAGTATACTGTCTAATACTGTACATGACAGTACCATTGTATTTTCAGCTTTTTCATTTTATTTACAATTCCTCTGTAGTACTGGACTATTTTACAGGTTACAGTATTTCCTCCCCTATTAGTCTGTTAGAGGGTTCACTGTACTCTTACTAGTGATGCCTATTATGATGACTTAGATCCTTTAGATTTCACCATTTTCTAATTGTTCCCTTATTTGCAGATGTTCAAAACAGTTGGTTGGCGCTTGATTGTGCTGACTGGTGGAGTGTATGGTTGCCTTTATGCTTATGAGCGTCTCACGTGGACCAACAAAGCAAAAGAGCGTGTGTTTAAGAAGCAGTATGTTGATCATGCTACACGCAAGCTGAGACTAATTGTAGATCTAACTTCTCACAACTGCTCACATCAGGTTCAACAGTAAGTAGCACTGTCTGTGTCAAGCTTAGTGGCAGTACTGTCCATGGCACACTTAGTGGAAGTACAGTAAATGATCAGTTTTCCAGGAGAGGAAAGCTAATATTTTTTTTTCTATGCTGGCTGTTTCCTACCAAGGTAGGTTACATATTAATCTCATATTGTCATTTTTCCAGGAGAAATTAAGCACTGTACTGTAAGAGAGGCATCTCATACAAGAATGATATAAGAGATACTTGGTTTTGCTGCAGATTCATAGAGTTCAGCCTTTATTGAATAGTGTTGAAACAGTTTTTAAGGCAAAAACAAGATGGTTGCGTTTCCTTTGCCAAAGTTGTTTGTCATATTGCTGTCAGATGCACTTGAGAGTAGTAACAATACCTGGCTGCATAGAGAGCTGCATGGTCAATTTTACAGTGGATCCTCGGTTATTGGCCGTTCTGCTTATCGACCAACTTGGTTATCAGCTGGTTTTTCGGCTTCCGGCTATCAGCCGTTATTTTGCTTATCGGCCGTATTGGACGCGTCCACTGCCAGCCGCTCGCGTGTTCCTGAGTCATTGTGGCTGTGTCTCTGGGCAAGTGAGGAAGCTTCTGCTCATTCATCCAAACATTTCGCTATAATCATTGTTTTTGGTGGTTATTCATTCAGTGCAACTACGAAATAAGTAACCATGGCCCCAAAGAAAGTTCCTAGTAAAGTTCCTTTGGTAAAGAAAGTGAGAAACACGATAGAATTCAAGGTAGGCAGGCATAGAGGCAAGGAGTGTAGCAGGAAGGCAGGGAGTGTAGCAGGCAGGCAGGAAATGTAGCAGGCAGGCAGGGAGTGTAGCAGGCATGCAGGAAGTGTAGCAGGGAGGCAGGGAGTGTAGCAGGCATGCAGGGAGTGTAGCAGGAAGGCAGGGAGTGTAGCAGGCATGCAGGGAGTGTAGCAATGTTTATATGCGATGTATGTTTAATAATAATCACTCTTGGGCACATTAAATATCTTATTTTAGGTTAATATAGACATTTTCATTAATCCATATATGACATTTTCTTCAAAATTATGTAAGAAACATGTTATATAGCATATAAACATGCAGTGTTTATATGCTATCGAGTGGAGAGTAAACATTACGTTTTCTCTGATACAGCGTTAGAGAAAACTGTGAATCTGGCATCTCACCCAGTAACCACCCATCATATGCGTTTGTTTACATTTCTCGGCCTGAATTATTCATTACTTCTCCCTTTGTTTATGATGGCATCTAGAGGTAGTTGTTAGAAATGATTAAACTCAGTGAACATGGTAATAATATGGCTGTGTAGTGTAGCCCAGGGGGGCTACATACATGTACTGTACCTACATCTACCGCAGCCTACACTGACTTCCTACAAATAAATACTACTCACCTCTTGCCCTACATTCAGACTAAGGTAAGTAATGAATGTACTCATTGTTTTCTGTATGTAAAACTGTAGTTAATCTTTAAAAAATGTATTTTTTGCTAATATTTTTGGATGTCTGAAATGGATTAATTGGATTTACATTAATTCTTATGGGAAATATTATTTCCGTTTTCAGCCTTCTCAGTTTTAGGCCGACTTCTTGAAACGGATTACTGCCGATAACAGAGGGTCCACTGTATTTTGTTTATGAAACTTTCTTTGTATACAGCATATTTTAGTAGTCATCTACCATAAAAAAAAATTTACATTGCTCATTTCCATTTGGCTAATTATATGGCTTGTAATTTGAAAATAAACCATAGGATTTAGTATTAGGGCACGTATCAAAAAGAAGTGCATAGTATCATCATCTGCTGTTGCTACCACTGCCACTGCTACCACCGCCATTACTGCCTACTTCTTCTACATACTGATACTACATACTACTACTGCATACTGCTGCTACTGCATACTGCTGCTACTACATACTACTGTTACTACATACTACTGCTACTACTTACTACTGCTACTACTTACTACTGCTACTTACTGTTAATACTTACTACTTCTTTCTTTCAACACACCGGCCGTATCCCACCAAGGCAGGGTGGCCCAAAAAGAAAAACGAAAGTTTCTCTTAAATTTAGTAATTTATACAGGAGAAGGGGTTACTAGTCCCTTGCTCCCGGCATTTTAGTCGCCTCTTACAACACGCATGGCTTACGGAGGAAGAATTCTGTTCCACTTCCCCATGGAGATAAGAGGAAATAAACAAGAACAAGAACTAGAAAGAAAACAGAAGAATACCCAGAGAGGTGTGTATATATATGCTTGTACATGTATGTGTAGTGTGACCTAAGTGCAAGTAGAAGTAGCAAGACGTACCTGAAATCTTGCGTGTTCATGAGACAGAAAAAAGGACACCAGCAATCCTACCATCATGTAAAACAATTACAGGCTTTTGTTTTATACTCACTTGGCAGGACGGTAGTACCTCCCTGGGCGGTTGCTGTCAACCAACCTACTACCTAGAATACTTACTACTATTACATTATTATATTCATGAGGAACTGCTTAACTTGTATGTCTACGAGCCATGCAGCACCTGGAGAATCGATATAATTCTGGTTATCCTAGCAAGGAAGGTCAACCCCAATCAGTTGGATTATGCCTTTTTTTTTTTTTACCAGCATTATAACACTTCTAGATCACAAAAGTAATACTGTAATGTATTGGTTGTACATATATAAAATAATTTACTCTGACTTTTTTTTTTTTATTTTTCTTTTTCTTAGGGAACTGAGTGGTACGTTTGCTCGCCTTTGTCGGTTGGTTGATGACAGCACCAGTGAGATGCAGAGAGATGTCCGCTCCTTGGAACGAGAGGTGCAACAGCTGGAAGATACTACAGCAACAGCAAAAAAGTTGCGCAACAAAGCTCACTATCTGGTTAATGAATTGGATATCTTTCAGCAGACGTATTTATCTTCAGATGAGTAATAATTAAAAAATGTGCAATTGGGAAAAGAATAATTTTTTAGATAATAAAATGATGTATATATATATATATATATATTATATATATATATATATATATATATATATATATATATATATATATAGATATAGATATATATATATATATATATACTGTACAGTAAATGCATTGATTATCCAAATTTCAGAGAGTGTAATTCCCATTTAAACAGAATATTTTCCGAATTGGATATGGCTGCTTGTTCATCCAAACACCAGTATTGATAATGGAAATTCTGTATATGAAAAAATTGTCAAATAAATTGATGTTTATCTAATCATATTTCAGTACTTAATTGTTAGAATTGCCTTATTCACTTGCTTCCCAAAAATTATGGTGTAGGTCTTCCCTGGAGGTAAATTTGTTTTCTCTGGAATACTGCATGTGGATCTACCTTATATAACTAACATTCAAGTGGTATGGCCTTCCATAAATATGTGGGTTTCTGCAGTTCTTGCCAGAAAGTTTGTAAAGCCCTATCCATTCACATTGAGCCTCATCATATCTTGCCACATTTGCTGAATCAAGCCAATAAATATTTTTATGAAGACTGTTTAACTTCAGCACTTCTTAAAGAAGGAAAACATAGATGATCCAACTTGTGACACTAATATTAGCACTCTTGTTCTTTACTGGAGGTAGGCAAGTAAGCAGGCAGGCATCCAAGCAAGAAGTCCAAAAAAAAAAAAAAAAAAAAAAAAAAAAGGCAGACCTGAAGTGTTTTACTCATGTATCCTAGTAATGAGGGTCCTTTTAAACATTTAATTAGCACTCCTTTATTTTTTAGTATTATTGAAAAGTGTGTTATAATTGAACTATTATTTGAATCTGAGCAAGAGCTTAATCTCTTGTTGAAGAGAGCAAGCCTGCTGTTTAATGTATTTTCCCCATAAAAGCTGTTAGGATACCAATGCTTCCTCATTATTGCTGACTTCTGGCTTGTAATAGCTGCAACTATTTGGCACCAAAATTAATCTACTTCATAAAATACAGAAAAATAATCCATTATTGTGTAGAGACAGAAGTGACATTTGTAAGCATTACTTTGAAAGTACATTTTACATTTCGAATTATTAAAATGACATAAAATTTCTGATATGCATAATATATATATCAAGTGTTGCTGTATGCTACAATGTATTTCTAAAATATTTGCTTTCCTAAAAAAATTTGTGTAATCTTGATATCGAATATGTGCAAATATATAGTCTATTGCTTTTATTTTTTCCTATTTGCTCTAGTTAATTTGGATAATCAAGCATGCATTGCATTAACTTTAAAAATTACAGTGGTCTTAAGATTTATTCAAATTTGGGTCCATTTTACAAGGGTTAAAACTGGCTTAAAGAATTCATTTATCTGATATTACATTAGATTATGGTTGAGTGGCTTCGACTTAAATAAATGTTATACTGTATATAAAATTTAAATTAAAAAACTAAGTTTGCCATGCCTTGAAACTCAGTACAGTATGTGCCTGGATTATATTAGTCAGGAAATGCATTTTTTAACTGCCAGTGTTGTACATTTAAGAAATTTATTAGCTATATTAATGCTTGGTTAATTTGTGTATATATGTGTGTGTGTATCTTGTGTACATTTTTGGAATTTTCAAATACCCAGAACCTTTTAACTGAAAAGGAATTTAAAGTATAAATTAACTGATTATAGATTTTAAGAAATCTTGTCTTATATTAGTGATATATTTCATATCTTAGAGATCAGGAGTTGATGAAATTTGATATTAAATTGTATGTATTAATCCAGTAAGCCCTCTTATAATGTGACTTCACATACTGTGACTGTAATGCAATTCTAAAAATCAAAACAAAAACTTGGATAAATCACTAAAATTTTGATATTACACACTGTATGTTCATATTAAAATGTGATATGGTGTGTAAAGGTAGAAAGTTGAAAGTGAACATAGATAAGAGTAAGGTGATGAGGGTATCAAATGAGTTAAAGAAAAATTGGATATCACATTGGAGAGAGGGAGTATGGAAGAAGTGAATGTTTTCAGATATTTGGGAGTCGACTTGTCAGCAGATGAGTTTATGAAGGGTGAGGTTAACCATAGAATTGATGAAGTAAAAAAGGTGAGTGGTACATTAAGGTATCTGTGGAGACAAAAAACGTTATCCGTGGAGGCAAAGAAGGGAATGCGCGAAAGTATAGTGGTGCCAGCACTCATATACGGGTGTGAAGCTTGGGTTGCAAATGCTGCAGCGAGGAGGCGGCTGGAGGCAGTGGAGATGTCCTGTCTAAGGGCAATGTGTGGTGTAAATTTTATGCAGAGAATTCGGAGTGTGGAAATTAGGAGGAGGTGTGGAGTTAATAAAAGTATTAGTCAGAGGGCTGAAGAGGGGTTGTTCAGGTGGTTTGGTAATTTAGAGAGAATGGATCAAAGTAGAATGACATGGAGAATGTATAAATCTGTAGGGGAAGGAAGGTGGGGTAGGGGTTGTCCTCGAAAAGGTTGGAGGGAGGGGGTAAAGGAGGTTTTGTGGGCAAGGGGCTTGGACTTCCAGCAATCATGTATGAGTGTGTTAGATAGGAATGAATGGAGATTAATGGTTTCTGGGACCTGACAAGCTGTTGGAGTGTGAACAGGGTAATATTTAGTGAAGGGATTCAGGGAAACCAGTTATTTTTATACAGCTGGACTTGAGCACTGGAAATGGGAAATACAATGCCTGCACTTTAAAGGAGAGGGTTGGGATATTGGCAGTTTGGAGGGGTATGTTATATATCTTTATATATGCTTCTAAACTGTTGTATCTGGGCACCTCTGCAAAGACAGTGATTATGTATGAGCGAGGTGAAAGTGTTGAATGATGATGAAAGTATTTCTTTTTAGGGAATTTTCTTTCTTTTTGGGTCGCCCTGCTTCGGTGGGAGACGGCTGACTTGTTGGAAAAAAAATTTGGAAAGTAAACTAAAATTTTTTTAGTATAATTGCTGGGCCAGGAGCAGTATCCTATTCCTCAATCTCCAGTTTTGTTAACCATAAACTGTGGCATTCACAAAAGTAAAAATTTTTTTGTGTGTGTGGAAAAATTTTGAAAAATAATTTTTTCTTACAGTTTGAAAGAGTATATTATTAAAAAAACAAAGAAAAGAAAAGTAGATTAAAACTTAGTTTTATGGTGCATTGAAGATCACAAAAAATTATTTTGGCAATAGTGGTATATATGCACCAGTGATATTTACATTTTACAATTTATTGATGCCAAATTAAGATTTTTTTAATAATTGTTATTAATGTATACTAGTTTCTTATAATATTAGATGTGTTTCAAGGTATTTTAATACTACAAACGTAGGGAAATGCATAGCCCGACATTGTTCCACAGGGAATATACAGTATAAATTGGTGCAGATAATTTTATTTTATTTATTTTTACTGCTTTGATTTTCTAGTACTATGTACAAGGAATACTTGTTATATTAAAATTGTTTCAATTTGTAATATCCTCAAAACCTGGAAATAAGTCACTGTGTATGACTTTCTTGGGCTATCCTGAGTTATTTTTTTCCCAACACATCAGCTGTCTCCCACCAAGGCAAGGTGACCCAAAAAGAAAGAAACACTTTCACCATCATTCAACTTTTTCACTGTCATTCATACATAATCACTGTACTTGAAGAGGCACTCAGATTTGACAGTTTGGATATCACTCAAAACAGCCATTATCCCAAACCCTTCCTTCAAAGAGCAGGCATTGTACTTCCCACCTCCTGGACTCAGGTTCGGCTAACTGGTTTCCCCGAATCCCTTCACAAAATATTATTCTGTTCACACTCCAATAGCTCATCAGGTCCCAAAAGCCTTTCGTCTCCATTCACACTCGATACATAATATTTAAATGTGTGTTTATAGTGTTGGACCGAAACATTGTCACAAGTTTCTTTCTCTTATGTGTGGGTTATTTATGTATGTTTTATATTTAGGTTCAAGGGAATATCCTGGATTATGTAAACAGTAATTTCTGTTTACCCAAAGCACCTGTAAGCATCTTAAATATGCATATGTATAGATAAGCTTTTATGAGACTATTTGCCTGACAGCAAGAAGTGCCTGGGCAACTGTTGAACAGATGATAGTGCCCCCTTGCCAGTACTGCCAGTCATAGAGAGTTGGCTAAATGATTGTGATATACCATACTTTAATGACTGGCCTAAAAACTCAGGGGTCTTCAATCCAAAAGAGAACATTTGGAACCCTATATGTAATCTCATGGCATGGACATGTCCTCTCTCCCCAAAATCTTGAGTGAAAGTAAGCAGGTGTGGGAGGGTATTGATTCTTCTATTCTCCATACATTAGCCTTATCAGTTCCTAGGAGACTTAAGTACATCAAAAGGGAGGATAATCATATGAAATACAAGTTAAGGTGAGGAACCAATACATATTTCAGTATTTTATTATTAGAACAAGAATTTATGATGAGAGATCTTGCTTTCTATGTGATATTTACACATGCATATTTATGATGCCTACCTAATATGACAATTGTTTCAAGGTGTAATACTCATTGAAACAAGTCACGTTGTTTGACTATAGTGGGTTATCCTAGGTTAAATTTACTTTTGTGTGCTTTTTGACTGAATTAAACTTAGTATGATGAAGTTATAATAAATTTGGAATGAATAAGACCTCTTCCTGTCAGTCACAGGATATGGTAGAGCAGTCTCTATCCACAATAGTCACCCTACTGGCCATCTGCTCCCCAGTACTCTGTTACATTGAGCATTTACTGTCAGAAACAAAATATACCAGCAGAGAGATCAACAGTACAGGAAAGGTTGTCACTTGATAAATAGAAAAAATTGGTAAAAATGTTATATGTAGCCTTGTACTGTGACTATAGATAGATCATTATTTAATCTATAGGAGAATTAATAATTACAGTGGACCCCTGGATTTTGTAATATACAGAAATAGTAACGTTTTTTCGTCAAAATATTGGCTTGGTGGTTGTCATTGAGCTCGGTAATAGTCATTCATCCCGAACGCGTCCACACGGCAACAGCGACCCAACACTGTCATTGTTTATCAGCCAGTGAGCACAATCCCATGCATTCATACGATACATTTCATATTATTCCATTCTTTTTAGTGTTTGCAACTGCTAAATAAGCCACCATGGGCCCCAAGGAAGTTCCTGATGCCATCCAGCCCTTTGGTAAAGGACTGAGAGAGAGGGGAGAATGTGCCTTCTTCAGTGATTCTGCGATATGTACGATACTAAAACAGCAGGAGTCGATAAAGGCTATAGCGCCAGCCAGCAATAAAGTGTAGCAAGTAAGTTAAGAGATTAATCGATAGAAAAAGGACAGCACGAAACTGACTCCTCCAATGTTGTTGGAGGTACGTATATAGGGCTAGTGAAAACACCGCCACCTCTTGCTGCCACTTTCACCATCATGTAAGGCTTATCTTTCAGTAGCTCATATACACCCAACAACATCAACACACCATCACTCACCACATACATAATAACATATTTTATTCTAGAGTATATATCATTTTTCTGTGTTACTGATATTGTTTATTATGTCATATTAGATGAATTGTGCTAGATAAATAAGGCATAGTGTCATACTGAAGGACTATCTTGTTCGGTCTCCCAACACTCCCCTGCCGCCGCCACAATTCCTAACATACGCCAGAAACAGACCTCTCTGGAACGCTTTTTTGCGCGACAGGGGTCCAGTGATTCTCAAGCTGGTCTTAGTGGCATTAAAAAACAAAGAAGGGAAGTAACCCCAGAAAAGGACTTGGTACCTGTAGTATTAATGGAAGGGGATTGCCCTTCCAAACAATTGTAACTCGTCTGTCCTCTCCCCTTCTCCCGTCTTCCATACACCAACAAGTCTTCAATAAAGGTAAGTGTCATTTTATTATTGTTTTATTTTGCACGTCTCATTGTTTTCTGTGTAGGTAAATGTATATTTCATGTAAAAAAATTATTTTTTTTACTACTTTTGGGTGTCTGGAATGGATTAATTGGACTTACATTATTTCTTCTGGGGAAAATGAATTCGGAAATTGTCAGATTCAGGTTTAGTTACTCTCTCAGGAATGGATTAATTACAATAACCGGGGATCCACTGTACTAATAAACCATTACCACAGTTTTATTTGTAAGTATACGGTAAAAATGGATTTGTTCTAGATAATATTTAAAAATTTAATTCACGTTC